GTCTTGGAAGATCAACCTTCAGAACATCCACTGTCTGATTTAAGAAATAGTGATGTAAAGATAAGGCCGATTAAATAACTAGAAAAAAGTCTCTTAGAGGTGCTTTAAGTACCTCTAAGGGAAGTGTATCACTCTGTTCTCATTCTGCTAATAAAGACATCCCCGAGGCTGGATAATTTAGAAAGGAAAGAGGTTTAATTGACTCATAGTTCCACATGGCTGGGGAGGCCTCACAATCATGGCAGAAGACAAAGAAGAGCAAAGGGACGTCTTACATGCTGCAGGCAAGACAGCTTGTGCAAGGGAACACCCATTTATAAAACCATCAGATCTTGTGAGACTTAGTCACTATCACAAGGAAAATATCAGGATTTGAAACCACCCCATGATTCAATTGTCTTCACTGGCCCCGCCCTTGACACTTGGGGATGATTACAATTCAAGGTGAGATTTGTGTGGGGACACAGCCAAACCATATCAGGAAGTTTAGCTTGTTGATGACTAAGCATCCTGACAATTGATACTTGGGTCAATTTTTCACAATCCAGGGAATGTTCTGCAACCTTGCAAATTCAGAGACTTCATTTTATCAGCACATCTAAAGTGAACCTCAAGGTCAAGTGCAGTGGCTCACACATGTAATCCCAGCACTTTGGGAGGTCAAGGCTGGCGGATCACCTGAGGTCAGGAGTTCGAGACCAGCCTGGCCAACAGGGTGAAACCCTGTCTCTACAAAAATACAACAATTAGCCAGTCACAATGACGGGTGCCTGTAATCCCAGTACAAGGGAGGCTGAGGCAGGAGAACTGCCTGAACCCAGGAGGCAGAGGTTGCACTGAGCCAAGACAATGCCACTGCACTCCAGCTTGGGCGACCCAAAAAAATAAGGTGCACCTGAATGCAATGACCAGTGCAGAGTCTGATATACTTAAAAGCAAGCTAATTATTACATTTATGAAAAGAAATATAGTCAAGTGGTATAAGTATCTGCAGTTTTAAGTGACCAATGCATTTTATTATGGAAATGCTCACTTACAAAAGTAGGGAGAAGAGTGATAATAATAATAATGAACACCCTTTCTTACTGCCACTCCCATGTGCTCATCATTTGGTTACAACAATTATCACCATTTACCATAATGTTTTCACCTATATGTTTTGCTGTAGTTTTTTACCTGGTGGCAGATTATTTGGAAAGGTAAATTATCAAAAGGTGTTGTGGTGAGTACAGAGGCATGACAAGGGGTTTTATGCAGCCTTAAGAATCTCTCAGCTGAGACAATAGTCTTGCCACGGAAATAGTCATTATTCTGGACCAGAATCCCCTTCCCCCTCAATTGTGCTTTAAGAGGCAGTATCATGCCTACCTCTTTGGAATCCTTTTTTATTACTCTAGATGAATCTTTTCCTTCTATTGAACTGGTATTTTCCATGCACAGTAGAGTAACATTACTTGTGCTACTTATTCAGTTACAACTGGTTCTGCCTCTCTGGGACCATCTCGATCCATCTTAAACAGGTCTCCACACTTTACAGTCAAAACAAACTCTGTTTTGGTTTGTTCTATAGAAATTTTGCTTAGAGCATAACTTTTATTTCCTTTAGCTCCAAATAACTAGGGAAGGGATATAACATCCCTCTTTACTCTCTCATAAAACTAAAAAATATTGGGCCTACAGTCTTAACATAGTATTGTTCTATGTAGAGAAATTAGGGCAGTGCTATGCCAATTCCTCATTTTTATGTATACATTGTTTTGGGATGCTTAAAAACTCCAGAAGGGTTCACTCCTGCCATACGTTCTAAACTTGTTTCCTTGGATTTTCTTTGCAGGATAAGAAATCCCCATAAACAAAGTATCTCATCTATGTCTACTCGAAAAAAAAAAAAAATACAAAATTTCACAACACGTTGTTTTGCCCATCCTTGAAAAGATCATTTTTTAAATGAGTAGGGACCTTTCCAATTCTCTTTTAAATAATATTGTATAAGCAAGGGGCATTCAAACCTTTGCTAATGGCTTAAAACAGAGAATGTTTTTGAGTTTTAAATATATAAAAAATATGCCGAAGTTCAAACTTACAGTACATTGGCTAAGAAAACAAACTTTGCGGTCAGACAGTTTGGTTCAAATTCCAGCTGTCTGATCTTGGACGAGTTGCTCAATTTCTCTGTGCTTGTTCCCTCATTTGTCAAATAAGGAGTATTAATAGTATCTTAGCACATTAAAACCCTACAACAACCCTAAAGAGGTTTTATAAGTAAAGCACTTAGAATAGTGCCTGGCACACGGTAAACACCATGTAAATGTTACACATGTAACATTTATATATATGGTATATAACTATTACCACTTAAATATATGCATAATAACTATCGATAGTTATTTGCCTAACTATATAAATGTGATTAAAGTATTATTAGAAAGGCTCAATTTAATAAACTACCTGAAGGATCCTTGTGAATTAAATAATCCTGTATGAATTGGAGCTAAAGAGAAAAGGCTCAAGATTTGTTAAATAGTTCAGAAACATCTGGAATTTCTAAGCGAAAACAAGACAAAAAACTCAAATATATATATATATATGTTTGTCACTTTTGGAATGAAATATTTCAGTTTTAAAGAATAAGAAACAGGAGATAAAGGGAAATTATTAACGGAAAGTAGCACTCGGTTGCTCTACACATGAATTTTTTATTCACAATTAGGCATAAAAGCAATCTTCATGCTCTCAACAGTAAGCTCTTTGGACAGTCCCCTAACAGAAAAAAATCAGCATTTAAAAAATGCTAACCATAAGATCAGTGTAATTAAAACTGAGGTAGACAAACCCGAAGCACAATTATTTGTACATAATGCTACATAAGTGAGAGAATAAAGAGGCAGTTATATTAATATTTGATCATTTTTCTGGTTCCATCAAGAAAACCATTATCAATGGATTTTTTTCTGAAGATAGGAGACTTGTTACACTTTCTAAATTCAAAAATTAAGAAGATACGTTAAAAACATTAGACCAAAAAAAAAAGTTTGATAACAAAAGGTGTCAAAATTAACAAACTAGAAAGTCAAATCATATCAAATATTAATCTAGTCTAAAATCATGTATAAAAAAGAAAACCCAGTAACTTTATCTATTATTTGAATCTTACCTTCAAATGTAAAAACCCAGTAACTTTATCTATTATTTGAATCTTACCTTCAAATGTAAAAATTACAACTGAAAAGACATTTATATCTATTTTGAGACTTTTCAAACAACAGAATTAAACTACTGATTACTCTAACTCTTTCTTTAACATCAAGATTAGAAAGAATTTGCCTGAAATCCTGAGGGTGAATATATCTTGAGTTTTCATGCAGTTATTAACAATCCCACAAGGGGATGCTATGGTTCTACAATTGATGGAGGAGGTTAAGCGTTTTATTTCCAGTTTAAAAGAAATGGCATTCACATTTTTATGTTTCCTTACAACTATGGAAGTATATATGAATTACCAGATGTTTCTAGTTCATGCTATATAAATTTTAGCATTTATACTTCTGGAAGGTTACTTTAAAATATCATGGGCCAAAAATAGCTACAGAAATACAATTAGTTTGTTAATGTTCTTACATACTGCCAAGGAACCTGCACGAAGTTTTGCCAAATTTGGAAAGCATCTCTGGAGACAGTCTTGCTTAAAAAACAGATTATGTGGCACATTTCAAGATCATTTTGAGGGGACTGGAGGGACAACAGCTCATTTTTCTTTTCTGTACTGAGTGGTCTGGAATATAATTTTAAAAACTTGACAAACTGAGCTCAGAAATTTTGATTTTAAAATGTAGGCTATTTTACGGAAGGAGGAAGACATGGTGTAGGGGGAGGATGACAGGTCCTGAATTTTCGCCAATGGTTCATAGTGACTATGTTTGATTTTTTCCCCCCTCTGTGGATGCATTTTACAAACTATAATACACAAAATACCAACATAAAGACCATAAATCTTAGGTCTGCCTTAGGAAGAGGCAAAAATAAAATAAATATTGAGTCTCCAAATCAGTCTACAAGTGATAACTGCTCCAGGACAAGACTCCAAAATGAAGATGTCTGATGGCCAATCAGAAGAGGCAGGCTCTTTTAGGGACGAATGAAACTGATACCCGTAAGAAACACCTAAACACTCCTCTTCAGGCAGCAGAAACTGAGTTCCAGAAAGTGCTCCTTAAAAGGCAAATGAGAAAGGCATGTTCATTTATATCCAGTTGAAACCCAAATCTACCGAGAGAGATACTGGACAACCTACTGAAAGGATACACACGCTTTTAAGCACTATAGACAGAAAAAAACAATAGTTTCATAGTGATTCTGCTAAGGAAACTAGCTCAATTTAATGTCTGAACATTAATTTAACATCAGTTTAAAGTTTTATTAGTCATTAAAGAGTAAAATAATATCGTAGTCATTATTGAACACCAAGAGCCGTAAAAAGTGCCAGCTCAACAAAATTAGACCTTAGATATTCAAAACATCAGGGCCATCTACAGTGCATTTCAATGGGGTGCGGTAAAGGAAAAACAGTGGTTAGTTCCCATAAATAACTGAGTCCCCTAAATAACATCCTTTGCTTTCAAATATCCACAGTTACGATGACCACTAATAAAACTTCTGAAATGCAGATACTGATTTGTGACAAAGCATTTTCTTACATGAACAACTCTTATGTAATGTTTTAAATGTTTCCCATTTTCTCCTTAAGAGTTAAGTCTTCACTTTGTAAGCAGAAAAATATTCCTAGGTGATTCAGTTCTTTTATCTCAGTACCACAGGTGAAGTCATAAAGCTTACAATATACTTATATTTCTTCAACAATGAATTAATGAACATATCAATATTAATGACATTTGGCTATTCCATAGCAAATTTAAAACATGTTCAGAGTAAGCATTTATTTGTGTATACAATATATTAAAGAGAATTAAACAATGGAGTTCACTAAAATGCTCAACTCTTACCAGGCTTGATGAGAGGAATCAGTTCTTAATACATTCACAGGAACCTTGATCTCACCTAGGAAAACATCTTGGACCAGGTTTCCATTGTTCCATAAGTCAATCCTAAAAATTGAAAAGTGACTTTATGCTTTGCAAACAATGTTTAAGAGAGTGCACACCACAAAACAGCTTTAAATTACTTTGATTTGTATTACAGCATTAATTTTACATGCTTAAAAGTAAAAGATGTTAGCAATACCATAGACATACCTTACTATCCAGACTAGAGAAGCAAAATACTACAGTAGCTTTTATTTTAAAAAGCACAAAAAGTAATTTTAGATAGTCTAAAAGGACTTAAAAGTATCTTAGTTTAAAAGTTGAGGCTGGCCGGGCGCAGTGGCTCAAGCCTGTAATCCTAGCACTTTGGGAGGCCGAGGCGGGTGGATCACGAGGTCAAGAGATCGAGACCATCCTGGTCAACATGGTGAAACCCCGTCTCTACTAAAAATACAAAAAAAAAAAATTAGCTGGGCATGGTGGCGTGTGCCTGTAATCCCAGCTACTCAGGAGGCTGAGGCAGGAGAATTGCCTGAACCCAGGAGGCAGAGGTTGCGGTGAGCCGAGATCGTGACATTGCACTCCAGCCTGGGTAACAAGAGCAAAACTCCGTCTCAAAAAAAAAAAAAATAAATAAAAAAAAAAATAAAAGTTGAGGCTTTATTTTAACCTATAGCAATAAGGACTACAGAGCTACTTCACTGAATTTGAGAAAAGAAACCAACCCAAGACTACGGTTTCTCTCTAGATTATAACCAATTTATATATATAGAGAGAAAAATCAGAAAAATACATTACCTGATCACTCCAAACACATGATTAATATATCATCTAGATGAACACACGGTTAACATCACACCTACACATGCATTTATAAGATTTTTCCATCCCAAAGAATATAGATATTTAAGACCTAGGAAATAGCACAAACTTCAAACACATGCACCTGTTGAATAACCTTCTTACCTCACTGAAATTTCTGTTAGACAGCAGATATGTTAAGAAGAATAAAAAATTATTTCTAAATTGGCTGAGATATAACTTCCTTTCCATCCATTACACTACAATCCAGAAATTTAAGGAACAATTAAATTTGGGAAAAATTAAAAATACAATAAAACAGATGAAAATTAGATCATCCTTGTTTATAAAATAAATACAACTTGAATATTTCTGCAAACAAATCGGATTTTGGAAAGATAATCTGGATTTAAATTAGATGCATACTGTATTCCTGTAAGTTTCATCAACCAACTTGTTATAGAGAATTCTATTAGAGCCGGTTTACCTTTTTCAGTTGAATTTAGGATTTTCTTTTGGTACACAAAAAAGCAATTCTGTAAAACCCCAAGGCACATACCTGATTTCTAGCTTTTCAATGTCCTCCTCTTCTACCTGGAACTGGGACTTTCTGGTGTAACTACTGGACCTGGTTACCTGTAAACAAAATATTTTAGTAAAAAAAATTTTTTTTAATACATTTCTCCTACAACTTAAAAATGATAATCTCCAAAATATTCAATTGTGAATAAAAGCAGAGGAAAATGCCCAAGTAATATTTGACTCAGTAGCTGAATATAAAAGCAACTATGGAAGTAGCAGAAAAGTAAGAATAAGGTGGCGTAAGAAAAATCAAGAATCTTTGTCTCCATGCCATTCCTATCAACTCAATATATGGCAATGGCCGGGTACAGTGGCTTATGCCTGTAATCCCAGCACTTTGGGAGGCCAAGGCAGGGGAGGACTGCTTGAAGCCAGGAGTTCAAGACCAGCCTGAGCAACAAAGTGAGACTCTCTATTTTAACAATAGAATAAAATAAAACCAATATATCAATGTAACATTAGATTCTCTGGCTCATAGGTAGTCCGTTGGTGACTCAGGAGTTTTTAAAGACTTTCCCACATTTCTCAAGACACCAATCCTACCTTGCACTTCCTTCTCACATTTTTGCTGAAAGTATCAAGGCCATCGGCAGGAACTTCCCCAATGACCGTTCACCTGAACTTGTCTACTCCCACACAGGGTTCTCTGCTTGATGAGTTTTTCTCATCCTCTTCTCAACAAGAGAATGAGATGATTTTCCTCTAAGACTAGACACCCACACAGAGTATGCAATAAGCATTCAGTAAGCATTATTTGATCTATTTTAATTACAGCTTTCTATACCAGCTTGTTCATCTCACTCAAGTCTAAGAAAAATTCTCCCCTTAAATTATGGTCTTCCTATCTCTTTCCTTTCTCAGACAAACATCTGAAAACCGTAATCCACCCTTACAGCTTGTACTTCCTCACCACCCACCACTATAGTAACTCCTTATAATCTTGGCTTCCTCACAGATCACCCTCCTAAAATCGCTCTCTCCATTATCAAATCTGATGATAAATTCTTAGTTCTTACCTCCCTTGATCTTCCATTTAATTTAGTGATCATACAACTGTACCTCTTTTCCAAGAAACACACTTTAGAGTTTACCTGAGCACTAGCTTGGCAACCTCTGCTGCTCTCTTTGTTTCTTTCTCAGAATCTACAAATACACTATTCTTCAAATTTTATGTTTTATTTTGCTCTAAAAACAACTTGGAGCTGCATAGTGCTGTACAGTCTACAAAGTGCTTTCACATCCATTATCTCCTTTGTTCATCAGAACGCTGCACAGAGGCAGGCAGGGCTAGACTTACTATCCTCATCTTCAAACTGAGGAAGCTGAAGTACAGAAATTAAATGACATGCTCAAAGTTGAATACTTAAGTAGCAGAAATTAGTTTCTTCACTTTTCTCCTTTATTGTGTATCTCTCTTCTCTCAGCTTTCTTGACTCGTTTATAAACAAACCGTGAGTGTTGGTCAGTAACTATCACTCATCTGAAGTTTCAGTCATGAACTCCCTACTGGAGGATTTAAAACGTCAGCCCTCAAGCTAATTATGTCCCAAACTAAACCACTTTTATTTTTGTTCCCTCTTAACTTTTCTATTTTTCCAGATTTAGGACCTTGGGGGCAGCATTCAACTCCTTCCTCTTTTTTCTATAATCAATTTGTTATCTTGCCCTTTGCACTATCTTTTTCATCTGCCCCTTCCTCTCTATTTCCATAGCGCTCTTTTGAAAAACACCCTATCCCCCTTCTCTTTTTTCTTACACCTAAAGTACAACAGTCTCCCCATCTTTGTTCTTTCTCATAACTTCTAGGCTCAAAATCATTCACTTTGGCACCACAGCTAGGCACTCAAGGCCTTTTATCAGCTGGTCCTGCTCTACCTTTCTAATCTTAGTTTCCATTATTTCCTTACACAAGCCCAATAAAATCAGTACTCACTGTACTCTGGACATAATTTTCTGCTTTTCTGTCTCTGTGCCTCTGCTCAAAATGTTCACCATCTCTAATAGTCTTTCCTCAAACTTAGAAAATCCAATCTTTCTTCAAGCCTTTAATGGAGCAGAGTACATCTGACCTCCCCAATATCTACTCCATTTTACTGTTGTGTATATGCATACATGTGTCTGCTTTGTGTTCCTTGCTTTAGATAAAGGAGATGGAAATTTATCTATTTTTATAACCAACAAAACAAAATAGAAATTTATCTATTTTTTATAACCAATGCTGCAAGGCCTAACAAGTACTCCTGCTACAGGAGGCAGGTCAGGCCTTTTACTTTCAAAGGGCCATCAGCTGACTGTAAGGATCCATGAAACAGAGTAGATTCCATCCAGCTGAGGTTTAAAATATATGGGCTAATGTGGAGTGTGAGTGCCTTTAGTCAGCAGCCCTTTATGTTGCTGCCTTCTTATCTCCAGGTTACATGCAACCACTATTAATAAATGTAGAACAACTGCACCAAGTCTTTAGTCAGGAAATGGAAAAGTCTCATATTGCTATTTTTTTTTTTATTTTTTTCCCTTGCTTCCACCTCCACAATTCTTCCTACTTCACTGTTGGCATTTTCTTCAGTCTGTGTTCCTTTAATAAAGTACAGTAATCAGGCATGACTAGAGGTACCCTCACTCTCTTCACTTTGAAACACCAAGGAAAATACACACACAGAAGAAAAAGCACAAAACGTAACTCCTTTTTTCAAACCTTTCCTACACATTGATATAAACTGCAACACGCTTTATTAGAATATGATCTTTTAGAGACTTTCATTTTTTTCCTATAGTTTGCAAATAATATGAATAAGGATTTAACAAATTCTCCAAAGAAAAGCACTCCAAAGCACTGTACACAGGACAACTTCAAAGCAGCTAAAGCTCTCTATGAAGATAAGCAGGTGTCCATAGAATGAATTAGGTTAAAAAAAAAAAAAAGTAATAATAAGGCTCTACTCATCTAGTATTTTATAGTCTCAAAGGATTCTCACGTGCTTTGGGTCTTACAAAAACGCTATGAGTTAGGTAGTGCTGCTGTTTTCCCTTCCAATTATTCTTTTAAAGATAAGAAACTTGAGTCACTTTTAGTGACTCTTTCAGTGTCAACTGGGCTGGAACTGAGATTTATTGAGTAATAATTATACTTACATCACCAGTGATTTTCAAAGGGTACCCTGCAGAAGAGTCCTGTGGCCACTATGTGTCAGGGAGGGGACTGGATAGGGTAAGGGAGAGTGCAAAGGAGAACATGATAGTGAGGATGACTGGGGAGTGGGTATGGCCCTGACCCTTCCTGTCCGAAATTAGAGCTTTGCCTTTATTCATTTTATATATTGGGCCTCCACTGCATCACACCATGGTTCTACTGCTTTCAGGAGAGAAATGCTTATCTGTGTTAATTGAGAAAATGATTACTATGACGAGAGTTTGAAAAAAGAAATCAACTAGCATTAAATATTACATATTTAATGTTAATATTTACATAAAACAAAAAATTACCTCAAAATAAAAGATTTCATTAAACTGTGGATTGCTTGTTTTCTTCTTTACTTTTGTCTTCTTTTGGTCATTCCTGTTCCAATGTGGTAGAGTTTTACCTTGTAGAACTTAACAGTACACAATTATAAAACATGCTATTTCCAACCAGGGAGTCTGACCTCCATTTAAAAGTTAAAGTGACTCAGGAAGATTCAGTTTTAAATATTACTTGGAAAAAATTAAGTGTCCTTACAAACTCAAATCAAAGGATATATAAGCTTTATGCATCTTACACATACTAGATTGCCAATCTTTTGGAGGAGTTTTAAAAACATATTCTATTCTGTAAGCAACTCAGAATAAATAGAAGGAAAACAATAAGATTTAGAGTACCTTCATCTATTTTGAAAAATACCCGAGGAACTTGAAAAACATTCTTAGCTTACTTCTTGGGCTTCAGGTATCATACAGACTTTTTAAAAAACCTTTTAATTTTAATTTAATTATAGATTCAGAGGTCACAAAAAATGTACAGGGAAATCTTGTGTCTTTACCCAGCCACCCTCAGTGTTAGCATGTTACACAACTACAGTACGATAGCAAAACCAACAATAACTTTTTAAAACATAAATTCATATGCCAAACTGTTTCTAACTGTACGTTACCAAACAAACTAAAGAATTTGTCAGGTACAGATTATTAAAAAAACAAAAAATAGCTCTACTAGATTGAACATGTTTAACATGCAAAAATAAATCTCTTTAGTAGCATTTAATGTCATAAGATTGAATATCTGCTAAACAGGATACCATTGTTTGAACACCTGATAAATACCAGGCATGGTACTAGGTACTTTACATACATACATACATAAATACATTTTTTGAAGTGATTTAGTAGTGATTTAGTACAAATTAAGAATAACTAGAGATTCTGGAGACGGGGAAAAGGGTGTGTATGTATGCATGTATGTGTGTATAGGGAGAATACTGTGCCTCTTGTTTCCTGATTCTAAACCTTCAAATTGTAGACATATTTCAGGTTTGTCTGTTCCTTAAAGAAACCATAATGAAGTCATATAACACACAATATTACAAAATGCTATAGGTTTTTTCACAAATGATCATAAATCATTTAAATCAATGATATGGTATACTTTGTCATGCTCTAGCACTTCAGCAGTTTTTCTACAGTTGGAATTCTCTCTGTAGAGGACAGATCTCATGAGTAGAAAAGGCAAGCTGGAGCTGCCTTCCAGATAAAAATATAGAAACTGTCTTGTTAATCTGAACTGGCATTCATTAAAATGGGATTTTACATCATAAAATTCAGGATACTTAAAAGTGGGAATGCTGACGCATGAAGCCAAGTTTATGTTTTAAAATACTATACTGTAATAGTATAAAACTAAGGTTGTTCCCTATAACCTAAGAGTATGGCAGATTTGAAACAGTGCCAATTTTTGTCTGTAAAAAGAAGCCTTTGTTATTGATAAGTGTATAACAGAACTTACTAAAAATTTTCTTTCAAAGCATTTATTTCTTTGTGTTATAAAAAGCTATCAATTGCTCATAGAACTTTACTTTTAAAAATTTTAAATCAAACTTTAAAACTTGAAAACCTAATAATAATTCAATAAACATTACCTAGAAGGGCCCACTAGAGAAACTGTTGCATAAGGGTCACAGCTTTGGCCATTTATGAGAGGCAACCCATGGCATGCCTTGATGCTAAAGTAGAATAAAAGAGATTTAACATATTAGATTCTAGTTAAACAAGATAAAACATTATCTTTAAACACAAACTAATAAATTCAAAGGGTTAAGGATTGTTTTCCACGTGTCTGCAGTTGCATGGCTACACATTAGCTACCCCATACATATGTAGGTATGCATTTTAAAATTTATGCTATATTTTCAAAATTGAACTAAACAGGAATGTCACAATCATTACTGAAACTATCAAATACATGCTGAGCATTCCAAATTCAAAAATCCAAACTCCTCCAAAATTCAAAACTTTCTGAGTACCAACATGATGCTCAAAGAATATGCTCATTGGAGCATTTCAAATTTGGGGTTTTGGGATTTGGGATGCTTAATGGGCAAATATACATAATGCAAAATCAAATATTTCAAAATCTAGACCAGCAAAAAAGAAAAAGAATAAGAACTTCAAAACATTTCTAGTCTCAAGCATTGTAGATAAGGGATGTGTAACAGTCAACACATTTCCTCTGCTAAATACCCAACAAGGTACATTTTGTGGTTTGACAAGATATCAAAACTGCTGTGGCCTCTAAAAAGGAAAAGAAAGCGGTGCAAACCCTAAATGAGAAGCTACAAACCAAGCCAGCTCTATGGCATCATATCCTCTGCTAAAGCATGAATGACAAACAAGGAAACAACTGTGGCTTCCACTTAAAAAAATCTGATTCATAAATATACAGCAAGCGTCACACAATTCTGTAGCCTTTTATTCCAATTCCAGTAACAGCTTCTGCACCATTCTGTAGAAAATGTTTTAGACCATAAAAACCAAGGTCATCTATTGTACTCCATGGCTCACAGTTGTTGGTATTTACAGAGAACACAGAATTTAACTTTAACAATTTACTCCTCCAATTTTCTCACTAAATATTACTGAGTTTATGAGTCTAGCTTAATGTTTAAGGGTCTGCATTGTCTAATGACTAAGAGAAACTCATGAGTGTTGTTGAAAAGTATTTTTTGTTGAAAGATGCAAGCTGTTGAGTAACATCCTTATTTCTCTCCACAACCCACAGGTCACATATGTGGGTGAAGTGCTATTGGTATACTGCCGAGTAAAGAGAGAAATGATAATATGACTCACTTCTACTAAGCTGGGCATGAAAAAATAAATTCAAAAATTTTTGAAACTAACCAAAGAAAACAGAAGCCAAGATAATAATTCTGGTTTTTAATATTGGGTTCAGATACAGTCAGATGTTCCCACTGTATAATACTGTTTAAAACTTACATTTCTCAGGCTAAACCTCAAAATGTTATCTGGTTTTTATAAAGGATTTGCAGTTTACTATGCACTTTCACAAAATGCACCTAATTCTCACAACTGCCTTTGAGAAGAGTATTAATGTCATTTAAAAGAAGTAAGGATCAAGGAGGTTATGTGACAAAGTTACAATGTAAGGCTCAAAGAGTAGTACAACTTGTAAGAAGCTGGCTAAGACTCAACTTCTACCTTTTCATTCCGTTACTAAAGTCCAGTGCCCTTCTACATTTCCACTGTGCCCCCAAATACAGTATTACTCTCCTTGTAATACCATATTTGTCTCATATAAACACCAATTATGAGAAGCCTTAAGAAATCCAATTTTCTATTTTATGAGGTATTAAAAAAACAAAAAAATGCAGTACTGACCTATAAGTATACAAAAATTTATGAAAGGATTAGAATACCCACAAACCAAAACAAAGATGCCCATAAACCAAAAGTATCACCCTACAGAAATCATCAGCACTCTTAATTTTTAAGTATAAAACAGTTAAAAATTGGGTTTTCTGCCAAACTTAAGTAATATTAATAAATATAGGTTATTCATCACTATATTTGGAAATATTATTTTTCTAATTACCTAGGATAGCACTGTTCTTCTAATCTGTAAGTCAAGCAATTTCATATCATAAATCATGGATGGGCAGAAAACAAATGTTGAAAATAACTTCAATATACAGAATTTAATATTTTATTTATATGTGACATATAAAGCACTTACATTAATACAGTATCTAAAAATTACAAAGGTAAATAAATATTATAGTTTATAATAAGACTGATCTGATTATTTTCCTTAGATTTTTTTTAAAACTAAAAGAAAATTTTAAAACTAAAAGAAAATCTACATCCAGGTAAGATGGAGTAACAGGAACTAGATTTACTCTCCACCCAAAATGACTAAAAAGTTGGACAAAATCAGCAGCGAAGGACAGGTGAGCCCTCCAAACTGCCCCAGCATACAGCTAAATGTTGTCTCTGAGAAGAGGTGACAAAGCTGTCAGGAGGGGGAGGTCAAAGTGACTAGAGTTCCCAGGGCAGAGTACTGAAGGGAAGAAAGTTACACAGAGAAAGAAAAACCTCCAGAGAGCTACAAGAATCCCCACCAAGTTTTCAGCTGAGTGCTGATACGTACGTATGTACGTATGTACGTATTTGTGTGTGTGTGTGGAAATTATCTGAGGCTAGGGAAAGAACCATTTGAAAAGAATAGAGGGAATAGTTCCGAAAGCCCACATATGGCTAGCAAGAGGTACCATTAGCCACAGTAGAAATCCTGGTAATTCATGGGTATTGCCTTAATAGTAGGAAAATACAAGTCCTCCAGTAAAGGCTGTGCTTGTCTGTTTAACAAAAGTTAAAAGCAAACCACAAAAGGATCAAACTGTAAGTAACTTAACCAATTCCTGAACAAAGCTCAAGTATATTCATAGAAATATGAAAATATCCAGCGACTTCACAATGTCTGGCATGCAACAAAAAATAACCAGGAATGCAAGGAACCAAGAAATTATGATCTATAATGAAAAGTCAATAGAAGCAGAATCAGAAATTACCAAAAAGATAGAATTAGTAGTCAAAGACATTTAAAAGTCCGTATGTTCCATACTGACATAGAAGACAATAAAAATGGAAAAGTCTAGAAATGAAAAACACACTGAGTGGAATTAAACATTTGCTAAGACTTTGGGGGAGAAGTTGGATAGACATGACAATCAAATGAGAATCAATACTTCAATTTTAAATGCGTTAAGTTTGCAATGGGATACATTAAAATAGACATATTAATTTGAAACTCAGAAAACAGACCTGGGTTGAATGCACAAGGTATAGGCAACTAAAAAAAATCCTGCTATTTTGAAATAATTTCAGGTATTTAAAAAAAGCTGTTAAAATAGAGTTTTGGTATACTCATCAACCAATGTTAACGTTTTGTATTACCATAGCAGAATTACTGAAATCTGTAGCCCTTACTTAAATTTCATCAATGACCTTTTTTGATCTAGGACACAATATGGGGTCCCATACTGCATTCAGTTGTCATGTCTTCTTATTCCTCTCCATCCTGAGACATTTCATTAAGTTTTCCTTCTTTGCTCCATGATCTTGCCAGTACTGGCCAGTTATTTTGCAGTGTACTCCTTAATCTGAGTTTGTATGATGTTTACTCATGATTAGGTTGAGGTTATGTATCTTAGTGTCCTCCTCAATGCATCCTATCGGGAGGTACTGGATGTCTCATTACTGTTGATATTAACTTTGATCACTCAATTAAGTTGGCATATATCAGATATCTTGTGGGAAGATTCTCTGAGACTATGTAAAAATGCTGTTTGTCATCATACTTATGCTCACTTACTTAGCATCCACAGATGATTTGTTGAATTGTGCTCTCACCTACTTATTATAGTGATTTTGCCAATGCTGATTTTCATTTCCATCATTCCTCCTACATTCATTAATTAGAATTCTACTTTAGGAAAAAGCAGTCCTTTCTCCCTACCAAGTATTGTTTGTTTGTATCAGTATTGGCATGTGAATATTTATTCTATAAGTTTTAACCCACTATTATTATTTATTCTGAAACTCAAATTTTTCCAGATTTGGTCATTTGAAGTCCCTTTATGTTGGCTTCAATGTCCTTTTTACATATCCCCACTATTTTTGAGCACTTTCTTACTTGAGCCCACACGATACTCCAGGCTCGTATTTTTCCTGCCCAAATCCTAAAATAAGCTACTGCTAAAAAGGAGTCCAGGTTCTTTTACTGAAGTTGTACTAATGCTGTAATCATTAGCCACATGTGGTTATTGATATGTAATACAAAATTAAAACTTCAGCTCTTTATATTAGCTGTATTTCAAGTTTTCATTATCCACACATGGCTAGTGGCTACTGAACAGTGAAGATACAAAGCATTTTCCACATCACAGAAAGAGTGCTGATTGGAGAATTGCACAGACATACACACACACACGCACACACATACACACACACACACACACTCATGCACACTCCTACCATTATTTTTCCCTTGAGAAGTTTGCCTTCAAAGGAGAGCAGAGAGATGGGAATGATAAAAAGACCGGGGTTTGGGTAGGCAGAAATAAGGACTGGGGAGGCATGCCTTTTAGGATGAGAGATACTTGAACATATTTATGTGTGGTGAGAACCATCTAGGGGAGAAGTTAAGCTGACAAAACAAGAAAAAGAAGGCATAACTGAGGGAGCAAAGCTCTTATGTAGAGGAAATAAATAGAATCCAGAGCTCAGAAGAATTCAATGTCAAGAAAAGGAGTACCTCCTCTTCTATAAGGACAAAATTATGGATGCAAATTAGGTTTGCAGATTTGGATTCAGGAAGATGTAATCAATTTCCAGGCTGTGGTGACAGTGCATCTTATAGCTGTATTACAGAAGCACAGTAAGTTCCGGGGCAGATATAAGTGCCCATGTGAGGCCTGTGATGATGAATTTAAAATGAAATCAGCCTATGTGATTTTCTCCCGCAATATTCACATGCAGACTGAACACAGAGGAAGAAGTCATGTTCAATCATGGTAGAGTCTTTCCAGACAAATAAGAATGATGCAAACAACAAGGGAGTTTACAGAACCTGCAAAAAAATGACTACAGTGATACATCATGGAAAAAGACGTAGAAAGAAGTGAAAACAGGAACACAGTGAAGATCAACGGATGGGGGTCTCACTAACATTCAAAAAAATGTTGCGGTGGGGACTTTCTAGGTCTGGAAGACAACAGTGACTACTAGGATATGAATCTTTCCGTACATTACTCCCCCAAAGCCAAAGTCCAGTAAGAAGCATAAAGGAAGCCATATGTGAAACCTGCCTCTAGCATTACTAAAAAACAATATCATGAACTTCAGAATATCTGTTAAGGGTAAGAAATCAACAATAAACCCCATAAAGTTACCACTGGAACTTTGCTGCTACAAGACAGTGAGTATAGACCGCAAAGGCTTGAGAAACTCTTTTTTTTTTTTAAACGTAATGTTTGAGACGGAGTTTCGCTCTTGTTACCCAGGCTGGAGTGCAATGGCGCGATCTCGGCTCACCGCAACCTCCGCCTCCTGGGTTCAGGCAATTCTCCTGCCTCAGCCTCCTGAGTAGCTGGGACTACAGGCACGCGCCACCATGCCCAGCTAATTTTTTTTTTTTTGTAGTTTTAGTAGAGTCGGGGTTTCACCATGTTGACCAGGATGGTCTTGATCTCTCGACCTCGTGATCCACCCGCCTCGGCCTCCCAAAGTGCTGGGATTACAGGCTTGAGCCACCACGCCCAGCGAGAAACTCTTTAAAAGAAGAAATGGGAAAACCCTAGAAGAAATGGATAAATTCCTAGACACACATAACCTGTTAAGATTAAATCACGAAAAAATTAAAAACCTGAACAGACCAATAACTAGTAATGAGATTGAAGCCACAATAAGAAGTTTTCCAGCAAAGAAAAGCTGATGGCTTCAATGCTGAATTCTACCAAACATTTCAAGAAGAACTAATACCAATTTACTCAGCTAGTGTGAAAAGTAGAGGAGGAGGTAATACTTCCAAATTCATCCTATGAGGTCAGTATTACCCTGATACCAAATCAGAGAAAGACATACCAAAAAAAGAAAACTACGGGCCAATATCCCTGATGAACACTGATACAAAAATCCTCAAAATATTAGCAAATCCAATTCAACAACACATTAAGAAGATCATTCATCATGACCAAGTGGGATTTGTCTCAGGGATGCAAGGATGGTTCAACATATGCAAATTAATCAATGGGACACATCATATCAACAGAATGAAGAACAAAAACCATGTGATCATCTCAACTGATGCTAAAAAATGATAAAATTCAACAGTCCTCCATAAAAAAAAAAAACTCAAAAAATAGGTACAGAAAGATCATACCTCAACACAATAAAAGCCATATACTACAGATCCAGAGCTAGTATCATACTGAATGGCGAAATACTGAAAGTCTTTTCTCTAAGATCTGGAACATGACAAAGATGCCTACTTTCACCATTGTTACTCAAGTCCTAGTTAGAGTAATCAGACAAGAGATAGAAATAAGGGCATCCAAACTGGAGAGAAAGAAGTAAAATTATCCTTATTCGCAGATGATATAATCTTATATTTGGAAAAACCTAAAGACTCCACTAAAAAACCATTAGAACTGATAAACAACTTTAGTAAGGTTGCAGGATACAAAATTAACACAACAAAAATCAGTAGAATTTATATATGCCCACAGTGAACAATTTGAAAAAGAAATCAAGAAAGTAATACTGCTTACGCAATGGTTACAAACAAAACAAAACAGCTAAGAATTAACCAAAGAAGTGAAAGTTATTGACAATGAAAACTGTAAAACACAGATGCAGGAAATTGAAGAGAACACCCAAAAATGGAAAGATATACGGTATTCCAAGTTCATGGACTGGAAGAAGCAACGTTATTAAAATGTCCACACTACCTAAAGCAATCTACAGATTGAATGTAATCCCTATCAAAATACCAATGACATTCTTCACAGAAATAGAAAAAAAATCCCCAAATTCATATGAAACCACAAAAGACCCAGAATAACCAAAGCTATCCTGAGCGAAAATAACAAAACTGGAGGAATCACATTATCCAATTTCAAAGTATACTACAGAGCTATAGTAACCAAAACAATATGTTTTATACCAGCATAAAAAAAAGACACATAGACCACTGGAACATTATAGACAACCTAGAAACAAATCCATACATCTACAGTGAACTCATTTTTAATAAAGGTGCCAAGAACATACATTGGGAAAAGGACAGTTTCTTCAATAAATGATGCTGGGAAAAACAGATATCCATATGCAGAAGAATAAAACTAGACTCATATCTTTTACCATATAAAAAAAATCAAATAAAAATGGATTAAAGACTTAAATCTAAGACCACAAACTATTAAATTACTACAGGAAAACACTGGGAAACTCTCCAGGATATTGGACTACACAAAGATTTCTTGCATAATGGTTGCTGCAAGCACATAAGCACAGGCAGCCAAAGCAAAAACAGACAAATAGGATCACACCAAGTTAAAAAGCTTCTGCACAACAAAGGAAACAATCAACAAAGTAAAGAAACAACCCACAGAATGGGAGAAAATATTTGCTAACTATCCACCTGACAAGGCATTAATAATCAGAATATGTTAAGGAGCTCAAAAAACTCCACAGGAAAAAAAATCTAGTAATCTGGTTAAAAAAATCAGCAAAAGATCTAAATAGATATTTCTTAAAAGAAGACATACAAATGGCAAACAAGTTTATGAAAAGGTGCTCAACATCACTGATCATCAGAGAAATGTAAATCAAAACTACAATAAAATTACAATTTTTCTCCAGTTAAAATGGCTTTTATCCAAAAGACATACATAACAAATATTGGTGAGGATATGGAGAAAAAGGAACCCTGTACACTGTTAGTGGGAACGTAAATTAATAAAACCACTATGGAGACCAGTTTAGAGGTTCCTCAAAAAACTAAAAATAGAGCTACCATATGATCCAACAATCCCACTGCTAGATATATACTCAAAAGAAAGGGAATCAGTATACTGAAGAGATATCTGCACGCTCATGTTTACTGCAGCACTATTCACAATAGTCAAGATTTGGAAGCAATCTAAGTGTCCATCAACAGACAAATTGATAAAGAAAATGTAGCATACGTACACAATGGAGTACTCTTCAGTCATACGAAAGAATCCTGTCATTTGCAATAATATGGATGGAACCGGAGATCATTACGTAAAGTGAAATAAGCCAGGCACAGAAAAACAAACTTTGTATGGTCTCCCTGTGGGAGTTAAAAATTCAAACAACTGAACTCATGATACAAGAGAGTAGAATAATGTTTTCCAGATGCTGGGATGGTTAGTGGGGGTACAGAAATATAGTTAGATAGAATGGATTAGATCTCATATTTGACAAGCATAAGAAGGTGACTACAGTCAACAATACTTTATTACACATTTAAACATAACTGAAAGAAGGCCGGGCATGGTGGCTCATGCCTGTAATCCCAGCACTTTGGGAGGCCGAGGTGGGTGGATCATCTGAGGTCAGGAGTTCAAGACCAGCCTGGCCAACCTGTGAATACTGCCTCTACTAAAAATACAAAAATCAGCTGGGCGTGATGGCAGGCACCTGTAATCCCAGCTACTCGGGAGGCTGAGGCAGGAGAATCACCTGAATCTGGGAGGCGGAGGTTGCAGTGAGCCGAGATTGTGCCAGTGCACTCCAGCCTGGGTGACAGAGCGAGACTCTGTCTCAAAAAAATAGAATAAAATAAAATAAAAAGTAACTAAAAGAGTATAACTGGATTGTTAACACAGAGAAAGGATAAATACTTGAGGTGATTCAATGTTTATCCTGATGTGATTATTATGCACTGTTTGCCTGTATTAAAATATCTCACATATC